AAACAAACTAAACCCAAATCAACCTTAAAACACTGGGGAAAACAAACAAACAAACAAACAAAAGAACTACGCCCAAATCAAGCAGAAGGTAGAAAATAAGGGATATAACAGAAATTAATGAACTACAGAATAGAAAAAAAGGCTTAATACTAATTCTTCACAAACTCTTCCAAAAAAACAAAAGAGAACACTTCCCGATTCATTCAATGAAAACAGTATTACCCTGATACCAAAAACAGACAATAAAACAACAGATCAGTATCTCTAATAAATACAGACACAAAATTCTCCAAAATGCTAGCAAATCAAATTCCACTATATATATATATATAAAAAATTATACACCATTACTGAGTGGGACTTATCCCAGAAATGCAAGGTTTGTTTAGCATCCAAAAATCAATTAATACATCATATCCATTGAATAAAGGAAAAAATCAAGAAAGGAAAACAAAGACATTTTCAGACAAAAGCTCACAGAATAATGCCAACTTAAGTACAAGAAATACTAAAGGAAAAATTTCAAACTGAAAATAATGATCTTGAACAGAAGTACAGAATTGCAGAAAGGAATGAAAAACACTAGAAAGGGTAACTCTAAATGAATATTTACTGTCAAGAAATAACAAAGGAATAAACTCTCTGGTGAGGTTTCAAAGTAGGTAGTACAAAATAAGTGACAATAATAATGAAAGGAAGGAGAGGGACGAAAGGAATTGTAAGGATCTTGCATTTTCCAAGAAGTGGTAAAAATATTAAGGTAGACCATAGTAAGTCAAAGAGACATATTTAATCATTAGAGTCATCACTTAAGAAAGAATGTACAACTAAAAAGCTAATGGAGAAGAAACATAAAATTACATATAAAGTTTGATTTATTCAAAAGAATATAAGAGGCCAGGCGCAGTGCTTCACGCCTGTAATCCTAGCACTTTGGGAGGCCGAGGTGGGTGGGTCATGAGGTCAAGAGATACAGACCATCCTGGCCAACATGGTGAAACCCCATCCCTACTAAAAATAAAAAAATTAGCCAGGCATGGTGGTGGGCACCTGTAGTCCCAGTTACTCGGGAGGTTGAGGCAGGAGAATCACTTGAACCTGGGAGGTGGAGGTTACAGTGAGCTGGGACTGCACCACTGCACTCCAGCCTGGGTGACAGAGTGAGACTGCATCTCAAAAAGAAAAAAAAAAAAAAAAAAATATATATATATATATATATATAGTATAGGAAAAAAGAAATAGATGAGACAAATAGAAAACAAATAGCAAGATGGCAGACTTACTCTCGACTTCATCAATAATTGTGTTACATTTACATGGACAAAGCACTCTGCAAGGAGTACCCAAATCCACCTTCATGTTCGATAATTTACTAATTTTCTGACTCACAGAACTCAGAAAAGCTGTTATGCTCACAATTACACAGTTTATTAGGACAAAACGATACAATTAAAAATCAGCAAAGCAAAATGCCACACATGGTCCAGCAGAGACCAAGTGTGAACTTCCAGGTATCCTCTTCCAGTAGGGTCACCTGGACAGACCTTAATTCTTCCGGCCACCATGTGTGACAACATACGCAAAGTGTTGATGACCAGGGAAGCTCACCTGAGCTTTAGCGTTCAGGATTTTTATTAATGGTTAGTACACCGACTTGGGGCACTCAGGTACCTTGACAGCTCCCCTCAGGGGTTAATCTGAGACACTGTAGTCCAGGGACCCAGGCAAACGGAAATAAGCATTTGCTTTAAATCACATAGTTAGCATAAACTAGCATAGCCCAAGGCCCCAGGTATACTCAAATACTTTTACCAGGCAGAATATTCCAACAGCTTAGAGGTTACCTCCAAGAAGCTAGTCAAGGGGTTAGTCCTAAAGACCTTTGGAATATGCAGGATTTGGGCAGTGCAGGCCTCTGAGTTAACCCTTTACTGCACACTCTAAAAAAAATGACTGTCAGACTGATAAAATAATTCGACTTATATGAAGTTTATAAAACATTTCATGCATAAGGACTCAGAAACATGAGGGTAGAATAAAGCCATATTGAGACACAAAAGGGCTCAACCTATTTGAGGATGTACTTCAGCAAAACAAGGAATAAATAAACAAACAGACATGGAATTCAATAGATGGTGACTCCAACGTAAGAGAGTAAGAATGGAAAGTGCCAGGAAGATAGCTATTCAGCAGCCCTGGAAAGCAACGAGTCCTGGCCTTAATGCTGGACCAGTGACTGCACCTGGGGGACAAGGGAGAGAATAGTAACCATTCTTGACAACTCACAATAACTTAGGGAGGTACAAGATGAGTGGAAGGCAATGTTCACAGCAGCTTTATGTATACTGACCAAAAAACGAAAAAAACTCAAATGTTAACAGAGTATGAACAAATTGTAGTATATTCAAACAATACATTATTCAGAAATAAAAAGAATTATTGATATACAACATAAACACATCTCAAAATAACTATGTTGAATAAAAGCCAGACCAAAAAGAATACATGCTCAATGATTCCATTTTCACATAAAACTCTAGAAAATATAATTTATAGTGACAGAAAACAGATCAGTAATTACTTCAGGATATAAGTGGGAAGGAGTGAGAAAGGTGGGAAGGAGTGAAAGATGATGAAGGAGGAGAAAACTTTTGGGGGTGATGGATATATCTGCCCTAGATTGTAGCAATGGTTTCACATGTGTATACATATGTCAAAACATATAAAATCATATACTTTAAATATTTGTTTACATATTGTATGTTAATTACACCTCAATAAAGCTGGTTCCTTAAGGAAAATAAATAAGAGTATGGCGCTGAGATAAATCTGCCAGGGACCCAACCCTGTTCTGTCCCTGGCCGGCTGTGTGATCTGGGGCCACTATTTAATCTCTCTGTGCCTCAGTTTCCTGGGCACAGACTGTAAAGAGATATTGGCAAATTCCATAAATTCACTGTGACAGCACAGTGCCAGGCCTGCATCAAGCACAAATGACCAACGTTAGCTGTGTGGCAGCATGGAGCCCCAGGACTCTGTTCTGCTTACTGTTTACATGCCCAGGCCCCCCACTACACAGGAAGAAACGCTTTCTAGCTCCTCTGTTTCCCTAAGACCCAGAATCAGCCTGGGATGCTCTGAGTGAATAACAGCAGGAATGAGAGACTTGGAAGACAACGTCTCTCTAAGTGGCGTCTCCAAGCAGCCAAAACAGAGCTGGTCAGCAAACCCTGTGGGCAGTGTGAAATATATATTTGGTCTTCACCCCCATGACCTGGCATACAACTCCTAAAATCCTTGTAATCTCCAAAGTGCTTTCTTTTCGTAGGCTTATGTTGACTGACAGTTTTAGGATGAAGCTGATCACTGGAAAGGCGAAGGCATGATTTCAGGGTCGGGATTCTTAGCCCCAAAGCCCCAAACTCAGAGAGGGGAAAGGAGCTAAAGGTTAAGTTGATCACCAATGGCCAATGGTTTAATCAATCATATCTACATAATAAAGTCTCTATAAAAACCTAAGAGGACAGGGTTCAGAGAGCTGCTGGATAGCTAAGCAGATAGGATCCTAGAGGGTGATGCACCCAGGGAGGGCATGAAAACTCCACACCCCTTCCCCCATACCACAGTCTACACATTTCTTCACCTTTACCCTTTATAATAAATTGGTAAATCTTTTTTTTTTTTTTTTCTGAGACAGAGTCTCACTCTGCCACCAAGGCTGGAGTGCAGTGGCATGATCTCAGCTCACTGCAACCTCTTCCTCCTGGGTTCAAGTGATTCTCATGCCTCATCCTCCTAAGTAACTGGGACTACAGATGCACATCACCATGCCTGGCTAATTTTGTATTTTTTGTAGAGATGGGGTTTCACCATATTGGTCAGACTGGTCTCGAACTCCTGACCTCAAGTGATCTGCCCACCTCGGCCTCCCAAACTGCTGGGATTACAGGCATGAGCCACCGCGCCCGGCCTAAACTGGCAAATCTAAGTGTTTCCCTGAGTTCTGTGAGCTGCTCCAGCAAATTAATAGAACCCAGAGTGAGGGTCATGGGAACTCCAAATTGAATCCTGTTGGTCTGAAGTTTGGAAATCTTGAACTTACAAGTAGTGCCTTGAGGGGACAGTCTCAGAGACTGAGCCCTCAGCCTGTGGGATGTCAGGCTATCTCCAAGAAGAGAGCACCAAAACAGAATTGAATTAGAGCTGTTTGGAGCATGGGAAAAGCCCTCCACACATTTGGTCACGAAGTCTTTGTTGATTGTTGCTGTGGTGTCAGAGCAGAGGAAAAATTAATTAGCATTTTTCCCCAACAGCCTAAGGAGTGGATGACATGGAAGTGAAGGGACTGGGAGCCAGCTGCCAGAGAAAGACACTTGAGCTCTTTTTTGTGGCTGAAAGAGCATTTTCTAGGGTAAAGAAAACACAAACCTACTTATGGAGAGATAACAGGGGCAAATAACAGCAAGAAAAGAGGACAAGATAGAAAAAGGAGGAGGAAAGCAAAGGCCTGAGGGTAACAAGAGATTTGTCTGGAGCTTGCAGAGAAGGGATTCGTGAGTGAAGCTGCAGCACCTGCCACAGAAGCAGAGAGTGGGAGCAGACTCACCTTCTCTCTTGTGCCTCCAGCTCCAACTCCTCTGAGTTCTCAGGATGTGTGGGGTCCATGGTTCATCCCCCTGCTCCAGCCTGGAGATGACATCAGGTTTGGAAGCTTGAAGTCCTGTTCCAGAGAAAGGAAACAAGAGCCAAAAATTCACCCAGGTAGAGGGTGGGATGGACCTGTGGTCTGAGTCTGTGTGATGGTTGTGTGCTTCCCTGCCACCTGGTCTCTAACCGTGAAGACAGACACAGACCTCTGCCTAAGCAGAAGAAAGGTCAAAACGAGCTTTTCAGGGGGACAGGGGGCATAGATAGGACAGCACTGTGGCCTGAACACATCATGGTAGAGGACTCATAGTAGGAGGTGTTGATGCCCAGCAGAAGGGTTAAAGGGGGAATGAGTCTCCAACACCATGTCTGGTTTGTCCGGCCCACCAGCCTGGCATAGCCCGTGTCTGTTGGCATTGCTGCTTTTGTTCCTGCTCAGCCCCAGCTTGGTCCTTGCCATCTCCTTCCATCTGCCCATTAATTCTCACAAGTGCCTCCATGAGGAGATCCACAAGGACCTGTTAGTGACTGGCGCGTACGAGATCTCCGACCAGTCTGGGGGCACTGGCGGCCTGCGCAGCCACCTCAAGATTACAGATTCTGCTGGCCATATTTTCTACTCCAAAGAGGAGGCAACCAATGGGGAAATTTTCCTTTACCACTGAAGATTATGACGTTTGAAGTGTGTTTTGAGAGCAAGGGAACAGGGCAGATACCTGACCAACTCGTGATGCTAGACATGAAGCATGGAGTGGAGGCAAAAAATTATGAAGAGATTGCAAAAGTTGCGAAGCTCAAACCATTAGAGGTGAAGCTGCAACACCTAGAAGACCTTTCAGAATCTACTGTTAATGATTTTGCCTACATGAAGAAGAGAGAAGAGGAGATGTGTGATACCAATGAGTCAACAAACACTTGGGTCCTATACTTCAGCATCTTTTCAATGTTCTGCCTCATTGGACTAGCCACCTGGCAGGTCTTCTACCTGCAATGCTTCTTCAAGGCCAAGAAGTTGATCAAGTAATGAATGAGGCATATTCTCCTCCCACCTTGTACCTCAGCCAGCAGAACATCGCTGGGACATGCCTGGCCTAAGGCATCCTATCAGCAGCACCATCAAGGTGGGTTGGAGCTTTCTTGCCAGAACTGATCTCTTTTGGTGTGGGAGGACATGGGGTACCACCTACACCCAACAAGTCAATGAGGGACTTCTTTTTAATTTGGTAGAATTTTGACTGGTTTTTGCAACAATAGGTCTATTATTAGAGTCACCTATGACAGAAAGATAGGAGTTACCTAGATAATGTCAAAGTCAGCATTTGTCCTGGGTTCCCTTGTGTGATCTGTTTGAATGATGTTTTCTTTTCTTCTCCCACTTGCTCAGCGGTTTGGGCTTCCATTCTAGTTCTTTTACCAAGATTTTTGTGTGATCATATTGACTTCATTTGGATTGCCCTCTTTCAATTTCCTTGCGAAAACACTCTTAACTTTCTCCTTACCCTTAGCTGAAACGTTTACGTAGCTTCTGGTGATATCTTTTCATGATTTTATGTCTCTTAAAATGGTGATGGATGTGACACTTCGTAAAAGTGAGCTTTGAACTGCAGATAACTCTTAAAGAAAATGTCATTTTAGACAATTAAAATATTCGTGCTTAACTGCTTGAACATTTTTCGTGTATGTGTATTTAATTCTATGCAGTATTATCACATGTGTAGATTCATGTGACCACCATCATGACAGACAGAACAGTTCTGTCACATGGATCCCTTCCACTGCCCTTTTACAGCCACAGCCACATCTCTTTCTTATCCCCTCACCAAAACCTGTGGCTGCCACTGTTCTGTCCTCCAACTCTGTAATTTTGTCATTTCAAGAACGTTGTATGGATGGAATTATATAGAATGTAATCTTATGAGGTTCACTTTTTTTCATTCAGAATAATTCCTTTGAAATTCATCCAAGTTGTTGCATGTATCAATAGTTTCTTCCTTTTTTTCTTTTAAAAATGTTTTATATATTTAGGGGGTATAAATGCAGATTTCTTACATGCATATATTGCATCGTGGTGAAGTCTGGGCATTTCCTTTTGATTGCTGAGTAGTATGCTATGGTATGGATGTACCACAGTTCGCTTAACTATTCACCTACTAAAGGACATAAGAGTTGTTTTCAGTTTTTTGCCCTTACTAATAAAGCTGCTGTGAACATTCATGTACAGGTTTTTATGTGAATATATATTTTCATTTTCTGGGATAAATGCTCAAAAAGGCAATTGCTGGGTTGTGTGGTAAACACGTACATTTTTGTAAGAAACTACCCTACTCTTTTTCCAGAGTGGCTGTACCTTTTACATACAGCCACTCATACAATTCATACAGCAATGTATGACTGATCCAGTTTCTTCACATCCTCACCAGTGTTTGGTATTACTACTATTTTTTTATCTTAACCATTCACATAGCTATGTGTAATGATACCACATGTGGTTTTGATTTGCATTTTCAAGTGGCTAATGATGTTGAGTATCTTTTCATATGCTAATTTGCCATCTATATACCCTCTTCATTGAAATTTCTGTTCATGTCTTTTGTTTATTTTCTATTTAGGTCATTTGTTCTTTTTACTATTGAGTTTTGAGAGTTTTTATACATCCCAGATAAAACTCCTCTGTTAGATATGTGGTTGCTTGAATTTTTAACATAACTTCTACCAAGGAAAAATAAGTAAAATTTCCAACTCTTCTTGCATGGCCAGTCACTTAATTCCTGTCCTTCAGTGTTCCATCTAGAGAATTAAGAGGATATGATGTATAAAGTAGACATCTAGGAGGGCCATTAATAGAGTAAATACTTAAAAATCCAAAACAAATGAAAGCAAAGCCAATAATCACTGTAGGAGTATGAGGTGCCTAAGGGTCAAAACTAATGTAAAGAGAAAACGTGAATATAAATGACCACGTTTATAAACAGTTATGAAAAATGTTGTCACTTGAAATCTTTCCCACATCTCCCAAGAAAGTAGGCAGGAGTTTATCCTTTCTGTAATCTCTTTTTAACCCTGCTGACTATTACAGGGCTTGTTTAATCACAGTGGCAAGAATTACATGTATCTTACAGTAAAGCAGCAGAATACTAGAATTGTTAGAGAATCCTGATGTGTTGACCTGGATAAAGTACAAAGGTGGTAGAGGGAATGAGTTATGTTGTTAAAATCTCAGGCTATTCTGTTTATGTTCCTGCTACTATGAACCCAAATCGGTTCTATTTTTTTTTTCCCTTTTGACTTCTTATATCTTCCTCTGGGGTGGCATAAAAGTAGTTCCGTTGTTAACTTGCACTACATTGCCATCTGCTGTTAAGAACTGGCAGGTACTGCTTTTGAGAACCTGGCTGCAGGTCCCTACCATAGGCAGCAGATGTTGAAAAAATCTATCTGTAGTATTACATATACTAAGTTACAGAGGATGCATCCAAGTAGAGAAAATAATATGTGGGTTAAGATCCATCCTAAAGGGTGGGCGCGGTGGCTCAAGCCTGTAATCCCAGCACTTTGGGAGGCTGAGGCGGGAGGATCACGAAGTCAGGAGATCGAGACCATCCTGGCTAACACGGTGAAACCCCATCTCTACTAAAAATACAAAAAACTAGCCAGGTGAGGTGGCGGGCGCCTGTAGTGCCAGCTACTTGGGAGGCTGAGGCAGGAGAATGGCGTAAACCCGGGAGGCGGAGCTTGCAGTGAGCTGAGATCCAGCCACTGTACTCCAGCCTGGGCAACAGAGCGAGACTCCGTCTCAAAAAAAAAAAAAAAAAAGAAAAAAAAAATTCCATCCTTAAACTTTTTCTTTTGAGACAGTCTTGCTGTGATGCCCAGGCTGAAGTGCAACGGTGCTATCCTCCTGGGTTCGGATGGTTCTTCCGCCTCGGCCTCCCAAGTGGCTGGCAGTGCAGGCACACACCACCACGCCTGGCTGGTTTTTGTATTTTTGGTAGAGACGAAGTTTCACCATGTTGGCTGGGCCGATCTCGAATTCCTGACCTCAAGTGATCTGCTGGCCTCAGCCTCCCAAAGTGCTGGGATGACATGTGTGAGCCACCATGCCCAGCCTCCATCTGTAAACTTTTTAATGTGAAATTCTATCATGTACCATTAGCCTAACAAGATTTTCTTTCCTATTTCTGACTGGTGTCTTTCCCCTTTTTAGGAGCAATGAAAGCTACTCTGTTATGTTCTTCTGATGTCACAAAATGTCAAGAAGATAGGAGAAGAGAGTATTTTATTTTGTTGATGCTTTTGTTCTCAAGTGTGACCCTAAACTTAAGTTTTGTAGGAATTGACATTCTTTCATGTCCCTTCCCTGTACTCATGCCAGAACTATCAACTGGGACATTTTGTGCTTTTGGTTTAAAAGTTAATTGATATTATACCTTGGTTTTATCCAAAAAGTAAAAGTATTTGCCTTTGACAAAAGACTGATACAAGAGGAAATAAGCTTTAAAAACAAGGGTGTTAGGTGCTTTTCTCCATTTTTGAGCATATTATCCAAAATGGTCTGTATAACATAAATGAGAATGATGCAGTTTAAGTAAATCTTGTTATACCATTGTCATGGACCCGTCATAAAGCCATTTTTCAGTATGTTTGGGAAAGAGGCATATGGGATTTATACAGATTCACTTGTAAATGTTGGATTGGAGATTTTTGTGTAAATTTTCTCAAATAAAGGCTAGCAGAAACAAAAAAAAAAAAAAAAAAAAAAAAAAAGGGTTAAAGGGAAGAATACATTCCAGTGAAAGGAAAGCAGGGCCCTGAAACTGAACAGATCCAAATCCCAGATCTGCCACCAATAGGCTGTGTAAACTTATGAAAAGTGACAGTATTTGTTAGCCTCAGGTTCATTTATAAACTGTGTATCCTACCACTGATCTTCAAGATGCAGAAAGATTAATTCAGGGATAGGAATGTACTAACTGTGCAATGAATAATATTCTCCTTCTATACATCAGGGAGGGTTGGCCAGGCATGCTGGCTCATGCCTGTAATTCTAGAACTTTGGGAGGCCAAGGAGGGAGGATTCCTTGAGGCTAGGAGTTTGAGACCAACCTGGGCAACATACAGGCTCTGTCTTTAAAAAAATAAGACAGGCATGGTGGCCCTTGTCTGTAGTCCCAGGCACTTGGGAGGCAGAGGTGGGAGGATCTCTTCAACCAAAGATGTCAAGGTTACAGTGAGCTATGGTCTTGCCATTGTATTTCAGGATGGGCAACAGAGTGAGACACTGCCTAATAAAAAAAAATCAAGGAGGGTCCCAGTACCACCTGTTCCCATCTCTGTGCAAACTAGACCTGCATGGTACCAGGGTCAAAATGTCTGGTCTTTGGGCCCAGAATATGAGGAGCCTCTGAGCCCCAAGCTTGAGCCTCAAGGTTAAGGAGCAAGAAGCCCAGGAGCTGAGCCCCAGGGAGGGAACTTACCTAGTGAGACTAGGTTCCCATAGGTCTCCAGCATCACATCCCTGTAGAGGCCCCTCTGAGCAGGGATCAGACAGTCCCACTCCTCCTGGGAGAGGGGTACAGCCACATCCGCAAAGGAAACCATGATGTGGAATGACAAGGTCTTGATGCAGCCCTCAGGTCAGGACCTGGAGGGAGAAGACACTAGGCTCAGGACTGGTAAAATCCCTCTGGGAACATGTACCTGTCTTCCCCACTAATGTCAACTCTTTAAGGCAGACACTATATTGGCTCATCTTGGTGTGCCCCAACCCTGACCTCTACTGTACCTGGTCCAGGGACAGGAAAACAGTGAGAAATACATTTCAGGGTCTTGAACTCAGGAACAGAGGACATCGGAGGAGACAGGGAGCTGTCCACCCTCTGGGACCAGCCCCTCATAGACAGACTCCTGCCAAGAAAAGGCTGAGGTCACATGGAAGAGTCTCCATGAGGACCACTCACCTGGAGCCCACCAAGGAGCTGCATGACAGCCTTCACTAGGTCTCTGAGCTTGTCCTGAGGTGTGGGCAGAGCCACAGGGAGAAGAGGGTGATGGAGCCTGACCAACCTTCTGCTCCCCATAGGTGCTCTAAGAGGGCCCAGACCTTTTGTAGTAGCAGAGACCCAATTATGAGCTGCCCAATTATGAACCCCAGGAAAGGTGGATGAACTAAAAGTAGCCAGTGGTCTCTGAGATCATATCCCCTCCCCACTTTCCTGCTATACTTCTCCATGTCTCAAGAGAGGCCTTCCTGAGGCCCCTGGGATGACAGCATCCTGAGGCCACCATGTGAAAGCCAGGACCCTTGCGGTGCACTTGGCCAAGACAGAGAATGGACTGCATTTCCCAGGCCCACCTATGAGGTCCTGGGCAAACAGCTGAGAATAGTGGACCAGGCTCTTGTGCTGAGGCAGTGAATGAGCAAATGGAGAAGTTGACACGTATGTGTGACACACAAAGAATGAATGCCACAGCATGAGGGCAGCGGCTGGTGGAGATATTTTACACAGGATGGCCAGGGAAGACATCTCCGATAAAGTGACAACAAATCGGAGATCTGGATGGAGCGAGGGTAGGCACCATGTGGATATCAGGGAGGTACATCCCAGGCAGGAGGAGGGCACAAGTGCAAAGGTTCTGAGATGCAAGTACACCTGTGTTCAAGGACAGGCAAGGAAGCCAGAGGGGCTGAACAGAGTAGGGGAGAGTGAAATAGGTGGGTATCCTCTGGGGAGGGTACCTTGGAGGCCTTAGGGCTATGTGTTTTATTCTGAATGGATGGGAAGTGCCTGGAATGTCTGGGAAGAGTGATATGACCTCAGATGTGGTCTCTACAGCTGCTGCTTTGAGGGTGCTTTGAATAGACTATGTGGTGGGGGTAAGGAAAAAACCAGTCAGAAGGTTCTAGCAACAATCCAGCTAGAGATGAATGTCTTGGACTAGACTGGTGGTGGCAGAAGTGACAAAAAGCAGTCAGATTATGGATACATTTCAAAGGTACAATCAATAGGATTTGCAGATGAATTTCATGTAGGCCGAGACACCAAGAGTTTTGGCCTGAGCAACTGAAATGATGAAATTTCCATATACTCAAATGAGTAAGACTGCAGAAGGATTAAATATAAAAGTTGTCTTGTATACAGTAATGTTTAAGATACCTATTAGATTTACAAATGGAAAATTAGGGCATTTGGATATACAAACTGAAAATTCAAGAGTGAGGTTGGGCTGGTTGGGTATATACTGAAACCTGTCAGTAAACAGATGACATCTAAAACCACAAATCTGGTTTTATTTTAGCAGTGACATGTGTCACTCCCACAAAAGCCTTCCCAACTGGCCTCGGCATACACAGCAAGTCACCTCCCCACAGCCCTCTGCACATAAACAAATTCCTTCGTTTAGTTCAGGAGAAAATGCGCCCTTTTCCCTCAGCTCTAGGTGACCGCAAGGCCCAGTTCTCGTCACCGAGATGCTAAGGGAAGTTTGCCAAGAGGCATCTGAAGGGAAGTAAGGGGAATGGAGTGACCACAAAGGAAAGTCAAGAGACACATTCTAGAGCCCTAGCACTTCACAACAAACTTTGGAACAAACCCTGCCTCATCTTCATCATTTAAGCCTCTCTTGGACAGATTTTCTGACTGGCCGATGAACACAAGCTCACTGATGTCTTCACAGTCTCCAGCTGAGGCACACCTTGGTCAGAGGGAAT